AAAAAAAAAAAAAAAAAAAAATAAAAAAAAAATAAACGACAACAATAAACAAATGAGGAATCGGCGTAGTAGCTGCAGAGGCTCTCCTCGGCTCGGGGCGCTTCGCGCGACTAAACTCGGCCGACAGACCTGCAAGCCGAAGCATATACACTTACCGGTTTAACGGAACACCGCCACTACCGCTCCACTCGCCAGCTGGTATAGGTATGTATACACGTACGCTTACCATCACGGTGATGGCGTAGCGGTACATATAGAGTTTCATAGCTTCGTCGATTAGCGAAGTTGAGCTGCAGTATCGGTCACAGTGAGTGTTTCGTAAGGTGACGATTGCGAGTCCTACCGATTCGCTGTTGATTTTTTGGATCGATTAGCTGTTTCCTCCCTGCTTCATTGGCAACGGGAACGGCAAGGTGCATCAGTGCACGTGCAGAAGTTGTGCCTGATGTTTATACGTATAGACACCCGGCCGGAGGACTCATCTTATCCCAGTTCCAAGTGTCAAATGCCACTAAAGGAAAGGGCCTATGCCACCCTACAATACACGTAGCTGGAAATGATAGGCGAATCGATCGAAGCGTGCCTACGGGGTGAGCGCGAATCGTCAGCGTGTCGGGATTGACAATCTGCCGCAACTGTAGGTAATAGGATAATATGCTCGCGACGGAGGACCTGATTGTTCATCGTACGTCCTTGCGGACGTGTAAGTCGATTGCGATTACCCTGTTTCGGTCATGAGTGCCACCAGAGGGTTGTCATGTTAATACTCGCCAATATCACTTTGGAGAATCGTGGGCGAGAGCGTAACGAAAGTTGGTGAAGAATAATGATTGCATTTGTCTAGCTGTCACTGAGCTCATGATGAAATTTCAATGTGCAATTTTTGACAGAATTCAGAATAATTTTCAGATCAAGAGTTACGAAAAATTTACGTTTCACTGAGAAGATGTTATGATTCCTAACTATGATAAATACTATAGGTACTTCAAGCGTGCGTAATTTAATTTATAAATGTATACTCTCATTGAGGCTCGAGGAGGCGTATCCGATACCGTACGATTCAAATTCTGAATTTGATCATTGCTACTGTTGATTTCTCAAGAAATAAACTGTGAATCAATGAAATTTTAGAATCAAAACAATTTTTTGTTATTTTTCATCACTCATTATCCTTTCGTGGAAAATTGTCCTCTTATATCTGTACGAATTTCTATGTAAAACTTTGTTAATCATCTCCAAACTTTATAAGAATATTGTCCGTGTATTTTTTGACGCACAAACTTTTTTCTTCAATTTGTTTCGTAACAAGCTTGACCAGATATACGTCCTTACGTTAAAACTTTTATCCACTTCTTCTGATTACTTTGTGATTGGGCAAATACTGTTGTTTCGATATTTTGAACTGATTTATAGCCAAAAGAGTATAGTCCCACGATTCCTTGATTTTGTTATTATTCAGACCACTAGTCCTTTCTACGTGTATTTTCCAATAGAAATGAAAAGGGTATCAAAAATAATTTTTACTACAATTCCAATCAAACCGAAAACTACAATTATACCCTCGAAGCATGTGATATTTTGTCTGGAATGCAAATACATTTTCCTAAATTTTCAAACTTTCATTCTAACTTATGAGCTTTTTGAAGACTTTGACATGTATACGATGCATTTACGGTTTAACGGGTAGAAATGAGTTTTAAAATTTCGGCATCAACTAAGTAAGTGGCGATGCATGTCTTGTGATACAACACACACACAGTGGTCTGCAAGCTATAGCTTGCGCTTCTTATTCCCATTTTCCATTCTTCTCTTTTTTTTCCCTTTGTATTCTTCTTCTCCTTATTTTGAGCGGTATCGGCCAGTAAAGAAAGAGTGGGAGGGAGAGGGAGCGAAGAATGTAACAACTATACTGATTATGACGCGATGATGCTACATACTGCTGTTGTCGTAAACTTTATGAGTGTGACGTATATGCAAGTATCGTCATCACCACTTGCTCGCCGTCGTCGTCGAATGAACTTTCGATTTAATGACGGTTATGAGTAACGGAACTCAGTTAGCGATCGTATTTTATGAATAAACGGATGGATTTTACACCAGCCTCTAGAAGCAGTACATTTATAGACTATGCACAGCAGGTAGATTGTACATTTTTTTTCCCAATGGAAACACAACAAGAGTTGTTTGTCAGAACTGTCATTGTATTTTGACGTAGTTGGAGTCCTTTTTGTCTTGTATAAACATCTTTTGTATCGTCGCAATCGGAAAGTACATGAGTATTAGTCGTGCGACGTGAGCAATACTTGATGAAAGTACAGTTTGATCGTAACGATGAAATGAAAAACGCCAATCGATAGTACGTAAATTAGCCTGCAGTTGTACATAATATATTGATTGTGTCATCAAAACTGCCAAAGGGGCTTGGGAGACGCATCTTCGGGGACTTCTCACTTCATTGTGAGTATCATTTCCTTCTACGAGAACATTTGAAAAATGAGTGCATTTCTTGATTGTCTGGATTATCGCTGTTAACGTAATCGACAATATAACCATACCTATGTGATTTAACTTCTTTGCAGGATAAAAACGGACATTTTTTTAAAAATTATTGTGCATCTTGGAAAACGCAAGCCTGATCTGATGAAATGATCAATTATTAGATGAGGAATGATGAAAGATTGTAAAAAAAGACTAGTCATATATTAGGCTATTTTTAGTTTTCCAGCTATTCGCGCTTTTTGAATTATGATGATGACCATTGCTCGTTCGAAACGGAGTTCACAACCAAAAAACGAATTACCATAAGCTGTGTTTGAGTTGTGATTTTGTCGGAACTTTTACGCTTAACGTACACGGAGAAATAAATAACCGGAATTTTTACCGTGAAAGCAACTGTAAAAGTGTGACACTGCAACAGTCACTACACTTTTTACCGTAGTTTAGGGGTAATTTTTATCCCTGTAAAATTTGTCTTGAAATGACCACAATTTTTACCGTGAAGGGCGTGAAAGCAACTGTAATTTTTACTCAGCTGTTAAGGTAAAGCTAGGGTCACGTGGTACAGAGAAGAAGCTATAGGACAGAGCAGACGTCTGCTGCACCTGCTTAACCTGCAAATTGACACGTCTGAAGTTTATACAAGCGATGTGAATAACTGTAAATAATCACAGTGTGAATATTTCATCTAAAAAGAAGAGCAATTTTGAATGCTCATGAACGTCTTTTGCATCCTGCTAAATAAAAATCAAACCCGAACGCAATAGAGGTCGATAGCGTAGAAACGCCTGTTTGTTGATACTTGTTCGATAATTTGCAAGTGCCAGGATACAGACTTTAGTGATTGTATTGACTCATAATCTGTAAATACATCTGAAGACAATAACTTTACTGTAAAAAATGTACTACTAAGTTAAATTGTGTTCATCAATAAATTTCTATTACGATATTTTCATTTCAACAGCTAAAACCGTTAGTGAATGATACGAACGTGGATATGGATATTGTTTTTCTTATAAATTTTTAATTATCAACACTTCTGATAAATACCAGCATAAGACGTGTCAATTTGCAGGTAAAGCAGACGTCTGCTCTGTCCTATAGCTTCTTCTCTGTACCACGTGACCCTAGCTTTACCTTAACAGCTGAGTAAAAATTACAGTTGCTTCACGGTAAAAATTCCGGTTATTTATTTCTCCGTGTGTGTATTGATTGATTAAATTTTTTTACTTTATTCTGTTCGAGGTAGGGTTTGGAACGGGATTCTCTCATAGATCTGTCTCTATGCTATTTTACCAAAATAAACTGGCAAATTATAAAGTTTTAAACAATTATCACAGTTTAAAAGAAGTGGTAACAAAAATATCATGGCGATGAGGATTTTTGAGTCAAAACTTTCTCAAGGAGAGTTACGGTAGATCAAGTAGAATAATTTATATGTATATAAGTTTTTCACTTGTCAACGCTTACGCCAAGCTCGCGAATATTTTGGGGTAAACATTCTCATTGATTATAGTAGTAATTAAAAAAAACTTATTTATGTTGAAGTTATTTCACCACTTGTGTAATGTTGACTGTAACTTTTACTATTATTGTTACTACTATTATTATTTTTGATGTTGTTTTTGTTTTTGCTCTTGTTGTTGTTGTTATCATTAAAACTATTTGATTTTTAATATTTTTATTGTAATTGCTATGATAACTTTTACCTCATTGTATTAAGAACTCGAAGATTCATATATAAATCTACGTTCGCTCTATTGTGAGCCATTTTCATTGAGTTTTTACTAACTAATTTACTGGCTAATTTTTTGCATGCAGAGGTTTATTGAAATTTTCATTTTATTACGGTCTATATAGTAGTGTTTGTTTCACCCCACTTTTTTTACCGCTCAAGTTTGTATTTTGCTCTCAAGTGATGTAATGTACTATTTCCTACCTCGGACGTTTTTAAGGGGAGGATGTGCCATCGGTAGAAAAAACAGTGTTCGGCATACAAGTCATTCAAGTTGACAATAACAAAA